CGGGGGGCGACAGCGTTTCTTTCTTTTTGAGGTGAATAAATGGCGCCCCCCCCCCCCTTAGAGGGAGCAGCCTTCAGCAGCTGCACAGCCCTTGTGCAGAAGAGTCCATATCAAGGTGGCCCAAATCCTGCACATGATTATTAAAGAAAAAAAAATATTCTTTTGCTTCCACATTTTATTTTGCACATTATGCTTAAATGTATGCTTTGCCATTTTTGTTTATATGAGTTAAATCGTTTTCTTCCACATTTATTTTATCTTTATAATGTGTGGCTTCCAAAGATAATAGGGTGATTTGGCAGGTGATTTCTATCCATGCCTGTTATTGGGATCTATAATGGGCGGGGGGGGGGGCAGTGTTTTTGTTTTTTGGTGCCTTCAAGTCAGTATTGATTCCTGGCAACAACCTGCAGTTTTCTTGGCAAAATTTTGAAAATAGTTTGCCATTGCCTGCTTCCCAGGGCTGAGAGACAGTGACTGGCCCAAGGTCACCCAGCTGGCTTTGTGCCTAAGGGAGGACCAGAACTCAGTCTCTTGGTTTCTAGCCTGGTGCTTTAGCCACTATACCAAACTGGCTCTTTATAGTATCTATACTTTGGGTCAATAGGAAGAACTATATCACCCAGCAAAATAAAAAATACCAAAGTTGTTGTGTTTGTTGTGGTTGTATATTACAGTAGGCTTTATATTTTGAGGATGCCCATTTCCTTGAAGATTTGTATTGAACATAAGACAGGGCTAAGCAGAATTTTATCTTGTTGTATCTTTTTTTAAAAAAATGGTGAGAATAAATGGCTAATAAAAATGTAGGAGATCTGAGTCTTATGCTAGTATACATAAATAAACAGCTTAAGCAGTACAAAATCCTGCTCTCATGTGAACAATGTGAAAAAAAAAAAAGCAGAAAACATGGAAAGTTTCCATTTATAATGTTAGAGTAGCTGATTGAATATGATACCTGCACATTACAAAGCTCCTTTGATAGTTTCCATTAATCTCATTTGTAACTCGCATCTGACTTTTTCCAGTATTGCAACCACATTTGTCTTCACTGCCTTCGGCAGTTGTCTGGTAGCATGAATGCTGGTAATTAGGATAAATGAGATGTTGATTTTTCTTGTAGTAGGAATGTTATCCTGCCCAGTTTTAAAAAAAATATGTGCAGAAAAATCTATCTCCTATTATGCATATATTATTCTTGCAATACCTATGAAATTTGGATTATAATCACTGAAAAGTAAGATCCAATTAATTTAATAGGAGTTAATTCTAGGCATACAATTTTTAAGTTCATAACTTTAATCTCCAGGGCCCGGAGGAAGATGAAGAACCTGAATCAGAACTGACTGTAACCCAGTTGAAAGAATTGCGTAAACAGCAACAGGCCAAGTTAGAAAAAACTATGTTGGGTGATGATTCTGATGAAGATCAAAAGGAAATAGAAATAAAGGGAAGTGAAAATAGTCGGAATAATGATTTAAGCTGTTCCTGGGGAATGGGTAAGAATATAATATTTTGTTGCCAAAATCTTCAGTGATGTATGTTCATGGAGCATATTTTGTATTGATTTGCTCTGATGCTTTACAAATACAATTATCTTCTGATTTAGATTCCTCACTGAACCCTATTTACCACCCTTCTCAGCCATATTCTATCTGAAGTTGTTTTACAAATTCTTTGTATGAAATGTTATGATTAGGGATGATCCAATAGAGCCTGTGCATTCATAACAAATTTACCAGTAATGTGCTAAGAGAAAATTTCTAGACATATGCATTCTTTTTTGTTCTAGGCAAATGGATCCAGGCATGTGTGAGCAATTGCTTTGTATTCAAAGAATCCCCACTTACGTCTCTGGTTTGGTTAAGCTGTCATCTTAATAGTTTACAGTACTATATTTATCTTTCATGGCTGCATTCATTGTGGCCATGAAATTAAAAGACGCTTGCTCCTTGGGAGGAAAGCTATGGCAAATCTAGATAGCATATTAAAAAGCAGAGATATCACCTT